CTTCACTTACTCTCTCTATGTTTATGGCTTTACATATTAGTGAAGAACAAATCCAGGGGTAACGTTATTAGAAAATGGATTCCTTGTTTGTAAAAAAACAAATTTTCGTTTCTCTCAATCGTCGTGGCTTAAAAGTCTAATAAATTGTAATCTACAAAAATATTTCACAGGCCCCAAAAGACACCATTTAAAAAAAATATTTTAATGAATGGACCAGTTTATTTAAGATGGATTCAATTTTGTCATTATAAAAAAAAATGAATCATTTCATAAATTCCGCCATTTTGATATTTCTTAAATCGTGTCCGGTGAAAAGAAACACTGAAGCAATTTAATTAAGATCTGAATGTTAAAAGTGATTGTGAAGACAGCAAATTGGAGCTTTTCTCTCTCTGTTACTTTTACCCTTTCTTTCCTTCCCTTTTCTCGTATTGGTCTTTTCTCTCTCTCTCCTCTCACTCCTGCATCGCTAACCACTCTCTTCTTTGTTTCTTTCGATTTCTCTCACTTTTCACTCACTCTGAAACTCTATATTTCCTTCTCCCACTCTCTCTATATATTTTATTTTTTCTCTCTCACTCTCACTATTCCCCGTTCCCCACTCTCTCATATTTCATTATCTTTTCTTTACCCCCCTCCCCACCTTTTATTTATTTGTGATTTTAGAAGAAAACTAAAATTTTTCAGGAAATATTTTTGTTTTTCTTGTAAAATCTAAAAATCTCGCTTTATTTTAATTTCGGTTTTAAAAATCGACTTTTTATGATTTTGAACTTTGACCTTTTTTTTATTTTCTATAAAAAGATTTTTTTTTCTTTCGTATTTTCAGATTTCATTTTTTCCTGAACGAAATCCAAAAATGGCTTCGTCGTCTTTGAGGAAGGAAATTTTGGAAGCGAAAAAGCGCGTCGTCGATTTGCAGGAAGATGTCGAAGAATTCGAAAAGCGGCTCCGTCGAGGAATTGAATGGACGAAGAAATCGATTGAACAATTATCAATCGATTGCGACGTGAATTGCACCAAAGTCTGGCAGGAATTCGATGAATTTCTGGAAAAGACGAGGTTGAAGGCCGCAGAATTGTGCAACCAAATGAGAGAAAAGACGAGCGAAGAAGAAAGGAAATGGCGCCAAATCCTCGAAGAGAAAGAAAATCTTTTGAAGGAGTCAGGAAAATGGCTCCTAGATTTGCGACATTTCTTAGTCGCCAGCAACGACGACGAGGACGTTATTTCTGGTGTCCGGTCGCTGGGAGTGGATCTTTCAGGGCGGCTCCATGAATCGTTCTTTCCTGTTGAGGAAGGTCATTTTGTGGTGACCTTTCCAGAATGGTGCCAACGATCATTGAACCAACTTGAAGAAGAAATTGTCGACTTTAAGACGGTAAAGACATGGCATTCAAAGGAATTGAAACTTGAAAGCGAATGCCGCCTGCGGGGTTCGAACCTGGGGTCGATTTTGTCGATTGCTGTCAGCGACGAAGATGGTCACGTGTTTGTTGTCGATGGGGGCGACAAATCGATCAAGGAATTCGGCGAGACTGGGGAATTCGTCGGCCGATGTCTCTTGAGTGACGAAGGATTCTTACCCTGGGACATTTGTTGTCTTTCCCATGACAATTTCGTTGTTTCCGGGTCGGGGATGGGGTGCGGAGAACTTTTGTTTTTGGCGCGAAGGAAAAGTCGGCCATTTTTAAAAAAAGAAAAAAGAATCAAAACAATAGAAAATGAATTTTCTTCTTTGTGTCAAATGAACGAAAAAATTTTCATTTGCGATTCGCGTTTTGAAGAAATTTTTTATTATTCTAAAGAAGGAAATCAAATCAAAAGAATCCAACTTGAGAAATCGCTGGGGTTGGGTTCTGCCCCCCGCCTTCGTGCCGATCCCACGACCGGGAATTTTTTGGGGACAAGACTTGGAATGTCGGAAATCTTCTTCTGGAAACAAAATGGCCAAATTCTTCAAATCGTCAAAACTAAAGAAAAAATTCTCGATTTTTGTACCGACCAATTTGGTCAGTTTTATTTTTGCAACAAGGAAGGAATTTTTTCTGTCTCACCGGAAAAAGTTCTGTTCAAATTTCCAAAAAAATCTGAAAATTTTCCGAGGATTTTTGTTTCCGGAAAAAAATTCTTTGTTTGTTTTGAAAACGACGGAGAAAATTTAATTAAAATTTTGAAAATTAATTAAAAAAAACTTGAATTTTTTCATGAATTTTACAAATAAAATTTATTTTAATTAAAATTATTTTTTTTTTTATTTTATGGAAAATTTAAAGAAATAGAATTAATTTTAATTAAAATTGTTTTTTATTTTTTTTGATGTAAATAATTTTTTCGTCTCTAAATTTTTGTAAAAGTTTTTAATGATTTCCCAATATGAGTTCAGGTAAATAAGACCGAAAATGTTCATTTTTCGTAATATGAGTCGAGACAAATTAATATTAAAAAGAAAAAAATCTTTATTAATTCTGAGAAAAAAAAAAACGATGGATTTTACAAGATTTTTTCGTTTGTTGTCATTTCTTTTTTTGTTTCTCCGACCATCAAAAGTTGACAAAAAATGTGGAATTGAATTTGAATTTTCAAATGGAATTAAATATTAAAATTGATCGATTTTTTTTTTTTTTTTTTTTTTCGTCTGATAACAATATGAGGTGAGTCAAATAATTTCTTCTTTCTTTCTTCGGGGTCGGGTAAGGGGGTCATATTGATGCCCCAGGGTAAGGAAGGATTCTTTTTAAAAAAGGATATCTCTTGGGTCCCAACTGGAAGAGTAGATCGATAGGAAATGGCGTGGCCCGTCTTTACCGGATGGGAAATGACGTCCGGAGATGGGCGGGGAGTGGTGGTGGTGGTGGGGGGATTAAAAACAACATTCATCATCATCATCATCATCATCATCATCATTAATAAGAATTAAGAATCAAATCAGATGAAATAATATCACTGATAAAATCCTTTCTTTTTCACAGACTCTCTCCTCCTCCCGCTTCTAAATTTCATTCCTCCTCCCTCTCCCTTAAACTGATTTTCTCTCTTTCTTTTCTCCACCCCCAACTTTTTCCCTCTCTCTCTATATCTGCTTATGTTTTTCGATGCCATCCAAATCTGCCATTTTTCGATGACGGCAAACGAAAGAAAAAGAAAAATGAAAGCCAAGCGATCCAAGAGAAAAACTTTAAGTCAATCAAATGAGAGGAGGCTGTGGAGAGCCATAAACCCATTATATCTTGGAGAGACATGAAATTGAATAAGGAAATATATAAAAATAGCTGCGAGTTGTAGCCATATTTAATGTTTTCTTAATGCATTTTCTTTCTATTAAACTGAATCCATTTGGCTGGTATTATAGCGAGGTGGTTGAACATAAACGACCGAAGATTTGCCAGATTTGCTGAGTTGCAATAAACAATTTACACACACACACACACACACACACACACACACACACACACACATATATATATATATATATATATATATATATATATCCTTAAACACTAATATTCCATGGAATATTAGTGTTTGTGTTTTTATTAATCCTGTCCTAGACAAGACCTGGATTTTTTCGAAAAAATATGTCAGAAATAGATATACCAAATGTTCATATTTTTTGGAATATATAATATATTCAATATATATATTCAACTTTCATAAGTCATCATCAGGGGAGGTGGAAAAAGAAATTACATGGAAGAGGAATATGGTTCAAGGTTTAGACTAAGTCATCATCCTGTCTAGGCCTTGAATGAATGGCAAAGTCAAGGGAAAAGGCTTTGGGAATCCACTCCATACGCTAAAGATTAAATGACATTTCACATATATTGCATAAAAGTAAAAGGAGTCTGTGGAGAGCCACAACCGCTTATCCTTAGGTTCGGAATAAAAGGGTAGGATGGAATTAACAGGACCATTATTATTATTATTATTATTATTATTTTCTTCTTCTTCAGTAATTATGAAGAAATTTCCATGAAATAAATTTAAGGATACAATACTTTCTTTTTCGCAGACTCCTCCCCCTCCCATAATGTCAGCTTCTCTTTTCTACCCCCCCCCTTCATTGTTTTTATCTTTTCTTGATTTTTCTCTCTCTCTCTCTCTTTATCGATATCAGAAAGAAAGCAACAAATTCGAAATTTAAGTCTTAACAATCCAAGGGAAATAACTCTGATGAATTCTTTTTCTTATTCCCCTTAAATTGATTCTTTATTTGGGGGTTTAACGCCTTTTGTTTTTCTCATTCTATTCAAATCTATCAAGAAAATGATCGGAAATTCGTTAAGAAATCGATTATTAATCGAACATTTGATTATTTATTGATATTTGTGCTTTCATTCCGATAAATGTGGCCGAAAAATTCACCCGAAATTGTTTGCTTTTTCTTGTTATTTTTGGATACAAAACAGATTCAATTTCTTTTGGTATTTGAAGAGAAAAGTCGAAAGAAGGAATTGAAACCGGGAATATTTCTTTGTAAATAGCCCCAAAAAGTGGAATCATTTTTTTAATTATAATATTAGACTTTGTAAATAAAAAAAAAAAAAACGTAAAACGCATTTTCAATACTTTAAATGTCTTCTTTGAACTTCAATTTTTCTTCCATTTCAAATATAATCGCCTAAAAAGTTAATCCGAATAAAAGGAAAAATTAATTTCTGTATATAAATAAAATTTTTAGGCATTTTTACAAGTTTGGATGTTTTTCGAAGTTTGTTAGGAAATTTAAGGATTAATTAATTGGATTTTCTTAATCTAATGTTTACTTTTACTTAAAATAGCATGAAAATAACGTTTTATTTACGCACGGCTGCCTGTCGGGGTCAAAGAGTACAATATAAATTAATTCCAATTACACCCAAAAAGGCGCGCGTAAAAGTAAAAATAAAACCTAAAGAAATACGGCAGACCAGAAGTGATAAAATAGTTCCTTATTATTTTTTTTAAATAAATTTTCTTTAACCAATAGTTTGAAAATATAATTTTTTAAATCTATACACTTTTATTAAAATTAGGATAATGAATAAATTTCAAGGCAGTAAGTCGCTCCCTAAAGAAAAATATAACATAAATGTAATTTGCATTCAATAAACATGAAAAGAAAAGAATTTATTCCAAGTGTAAGTTTTAGAAAAATGGAAATATAAAATACTAGCAGTAGAGCCCGGCGTTGCCCGGGGATGTAACAGTAAGAGATAGATCAAGTATCCACCATCATAAAGACTGAAAAATAAAATTGACAAAGATTATTGTTTAAGGTTGATGGACACGCATGTCTTAATTATTTTTTTTTTTTTTTTTTTTTTTTTACGGAGTGATCAAACTAAAACTCAAACAAAAAATATTGTTTTCAATCGTTATGAGTCTCTACCGATTGAATAGAATTTTATTATAAACAATTGTCTTATAAATGGAATTTTTAAAGCATTCTGAATGTAAAAATAAAGAAAAAAGTGTGCAAGACAATAAGAAACACTACCTGCCAAAAAAAAAGTGAAGTTTTGTTGAAATCGGTTGAAAATGTAGAAAATCCGATCCCATATATAAACGAACACAGACATACACTCACAAACAACCTGGGTTTTATAATACGTATAACTCGATATGAGTCCCCCTTTCATTCTGGTGACAGAATCTTGTTTTATCGTGTTTTCAAATTGATTTCGTGCAAAAACAATGGTGTTTTTCCAATTTTTGGCGCTGTCAGAACCACCGCAAGGTGATTTTATGTAGTCCTGAGAAAGTTTTGTTGAAATGTCAATTACAACATATTAAACAATATACGGACAATTAATTAACATCTTTGATAATGGCTTAAGTAAGTCGAAAGCTTAGATTGTATTAAAAAAAAATATGGATCATTATTGTGAATTTCTTTCGTCGTTCAACGATAATGTTATTAAACTTATCAGATGTTACGAAAAAAATTTACAGAAAATAAATAGACAACACTTGTCTATATTATTTAATGAAACGTGTATGAATGAAAAGATTCTGCCTAAATACACACAATATATATATATATATATATATATATAAGCATTCATCTATTCCTGCATGCTTGTGTGGTTTGGAAACATTTTGAGAAAAAACTTCACGTTTAATTTTTATCTATCTATCTATCTATCTCCTTTCCATATCTATCTATCTATCTATCTATCTATCTATCTATAAAATTAAAATATGTCTGTAAAATACTGTTTGCCTAATATTATTTTTGCCCTGTTCTTTTCTTTCGCCTTTTATTGTTCATTGCAAAATTTGTCAATTCATTTCAGTTCTACCAAATACATTTAACCCTGACCAGTTACTCTACACATTGTCTATTTGAAAAATCTACAACTTCATACTTAAAATAGATATATCTTTTCATTTATTCATGGGCTCTTCATTTATTTATAAACTCTTCCTGACCAGAAAAGAACTCATTATGTACATTTGCCTTAGCTTTTTAAGAAGTTAATTGCAGCGCGAATTTTAGTTTGACGAATTTCGGTTTTTCAATTTACCAGGTAACATGAAAATCATTGCAAAAAATAAACCTGAACAAAACCTGTAGGAATACAAAATGGGAATATCTCCATTCGGTAGAAATTAAGTTACATGATATCATCTATATATATATATATATATATATATATATACATACATACACATATATATATATATATATATATATATATATAGGAGGTGACATCACGTATATATATATACATGTGAAGGCCTCACACTTATACAGACACCCACATGAACATACACACTTACATAAGTCATACTCACTCACTCCCTAATGAGCCAAATGATAACACACACGCACAGCAATACACGCGCTTACACATATCATACTCACTCACTCACTAAGAACCAAATAACACACGCACAAACACTAAACAGAGACACATCCCCTCTCCAGGACCAATAAAACTGTCAAACTGACCAGGGGAATTCAGAGAAGCATAGATCCATGAAGCTCTTATCTCAAATAACAACTTAAAAGAGACTGTTTGACCAACACAAGGAATGTTAAAAGATTCATGTTAAAAACATAAAAAAAATAAAAAAACAAATGAAAACTACAGACAAAAGTTTATTTTCTACGTCAAGACATTAATTTCTGTAGTTTACTGCTACCAGCAAGCAGAAATATTTCTTCTCCTGATGATGGCCATTTTGGCCGAAACTAGTCGAGGAATCTAAATGAAATAATAATAAAAAAAACGAAAGAATATTAATCTACAAAACAGTGTGTCTGAAGATTTTAATTTTTTAATATTTTTTTTATTGTTCAATATATATATATATAGATAGATAGATCAATTGGCCTGGGCAACCAAACCAATCGGAATTTTGTCATATAATTTTATTCATCTATTGTTGTATATTTATATTCTTAAACCGAACACTGAACAAAGTATTTTCCATTCATCGCAATGCACCTGTGGGATCTTCTACAACAAACCAACCTTACCACTTCCGGAAATGCATTCTCCCTATCTGTTAAAGAAAATCCAACTTTCACGAATAAATATCCTGAACTTTTATTCATTGGTCAATCAATTCCAAATTTATTCTTGCAAATTGTTCAGTTTCGACCAATCAAAACCCGGTACAAATATTACCAAATCAAAGGGAATCTGTTTTTCCTGCTTTTTTCAGTTGGAGCCTCCCCATGTGGTACATCAGCCATTATATAAACCTAATTGTTATGTTTTGAACATTTTAAGTTTTGTATTTTTTCATTCATTTACGTATTTTTTGCATTGTATTCACGCATTGTCCTGAATCCAAGTGCCATCAAGATGGCAACCTTCACCAACTTCCGTAACCCTTGAGTCATTGCAATTGGTAATCCAGACGTACAAAAAGATAAAATACAAACCAACATTCACGAACTCACTTCAAATCGATCCAGACTTTTACCAACTTTAGTCCTCACAATTTCAAATTTTATTTTTCTAAATTACAAGTTCTGGGGGGATTAAGAAAAAAAATCTAGAAAACATTCCCCATCATCCTGAACTTGAAAATCCTAAATTTTTCAAATAATTTTTTTTATGCATGTCCAAGTTCTTTTTTTTTATTTTTTTATATTTAAATAAACCTACTATTAATTATAACGTTTAGTTTTTGAAATGAATTTTTTCAATTGTCTTTAAATGGAATTTTTTCTTTCAATGAAAATTTAACAGACCTTTGTGAGTCAATAAGAAACCCACACTAAAAAAAAAATTTAGGTTTTTTGTCTGAAATTGAGGAATATCCCATAATAAAGAAATCAAAACAATTCCGATGTTTTTTCATTCCATTTTTCAAATTATTTTTTCTCCATTGTGTTTTTTATTTTACTTGTCAATTAATTTTCGTTTTTGTTTTTTCTGAAATCCGATCCAATAAATGATCAGCCAATGGGTATGAGAAAATATGGTCGTTTTACAATCAAGACAGCCAGTTCTTTCTTCATTCGTAGGTTTTGAAAATGTCAGGGAAAAAAATGACATTAAGGGGGGTTTGGGGGATGACATGGGAATCTTCGGAAAATGCTCAAAAAATGGTTTTCCAAGTTGGGACCAAAGATATCCTTTTTTTTAAAAAAAGAATTTTTGAATCTTGGGGAAAATTTACGAAAAAGAAAGGCTCATCAGGGAAAAAAAAAAATTTTTTATTTTTTTTTTTTTGAAACGATTCCATTTGAAAATGAATTCCACATCTTTTTCAACAGAACCCGAAGAAAAGTCCAGAGAAAATGGAGACAAGTAAAAAAACTTGTAAAATCCATTGGCATCAATTTTAAAATTTTTTTCAAATATTTAAAAAATATTACGAAAAAAATGATTTTCTGACTTAGACAGAACTCATATTGGAAAACCATTAAAAACATTGTTAAAAGAAAATTAAAATTTTTCAAAATTTTCCATGAAATAAAAAAAAAAAATTTTAATTAAAAAAAAAAAATTCCAAAATTAATTTTGAAAATCTCGGAAAATGTCGTTTTAAAAAATGTCTATTTTTTCCAGAAACAAAAAATCTTCGGATGACAGATTTTTTAAGAATTTGTACAGAAACTGTAAGACAGAAAAAAAAATTCCTTTATGGTCAAAAAAAAATAAAAAGAACCAAATTCATTTGCATAAAATCGAAAATTTCTTTTTCAGTTTCGACGATTTGAAGAATTTGGCCATTTGCAGACCAAACGAAGAAATTATTTTTTTTTGCCCCCAAACAAAAACTGTGGGAAATAGGGGGAAATTTTAAAATCAGAGATTTGAAAGTTGGATTCTTTTGTTTGATTTCCCTTTAGAATAACAAAGATGGGATCAAAATCACAAACGAAAATTTGTTTTGATGTTCGTTTTTTTTTTCATTCCTTTCATCTAAAAATCGATAGAACGTCTTCCTTTCACGCCAAAACCAAAGTTCTCCATAATACCCTGACCCCATATCAACGAAATTGCCATTAAGACAACAAATGTTGAAGGGAAAGGTATATCCATCAAGGGTCATCTGGTTTGAATCTGACAGCTGTCGGAAATCGAATAGTTTCCATCAAAAAATAAAATGTTCGTTTGACGGCAATCGGGAATCAACCCCAGTCAGGCGGAACCAAGTTGACTCTATTGTTTTTTACTGGAGAAAAGTCGACGGCACCCACTTGAAGTTGGGTCAATGATTCTAAAGGTTGCAAAATGTTCTTCCAATGGAGCCGCCCTGAAAGTTTCCAGCAGTGAATGTGAAGAAAGAACATCCTCATCGTCGATGCTGGCGGCAAACAAACAAATGTTCTGGTGAGATTTTCATTGCTTTGGAAAATACCATTTCTTTCTTCTTCGCTCGTCATTCTCAATTGCACAACTCTGCAGATTCATTCTGGTCTTTCCAAACATATTGAATTGGTGCCAGACTTTAAGCAATTTTCTTCATGATTGATAACTGTTCAAAGGATTTCTTCAGATACCAAATTCTCGGGGAACCGGTTGCGAATTCTTCGTGATTTTTCAATTAGGTGTGGTGTCGATTCTTTCCATTTTTCCAAAAAACTTAAAACGTTTGTCAGGAAAAATGAAGTCTGTTACAAAAAAAAAAAAAAAAGTTTTTGAGAAATTGAAAAAAAAAAAAAAGGTGGAAAGTTCAAAATCATAAAAAGTCGATTTTTAAAACCGAAAATAAAATGGGAATCTTGGCGAAGATGTTTCCGGACTTCTAAAATCACAAATAAATAAAAAAGAATTTTTTAAGAGAAAACAGATTGAACATCTACGGTAAATCCAATCAAAAATAATGCAGACAGTTGGGAGAGGAAATATAATTGCTGAATTGAAAAAAAATGGAGAAATCGAAAGAAACAAAATTGATGTTAGGTCTGGCTGACCTGGACTTCTTTGGGCAAAATGCAAAAAACAAAGTTGACAAAAAAGTCTGACGAATTGCATTGGTTGCCCTATAAAAAATAAAATGAATGTTTTGTAAAAGAAAATGACTTTTCAATAGTGAATTATTTACTATTAAAGAAATTTGAAAAAAGCGAAAAAAAAAATTGTGAAATTTCAAATGATTGTAAAAGTATTATGCACCGGTCTTATGAAATTTATGTTCTTATTTTTATATTATCTCAGTTATATTTTTCCATATAAAATATCAAAATTAATAAAATAGAAGGGAAATACAAAAATACCATAAAATATAATAAATGTACATATTTATATTTTACACTTAGCCTTTCATAAGGATGGTACTACATTAAAAAAAAACATTAGAAATGCTACAAATTAATTAGATTAATTCTTGATATTATCTCAGTTGCATTAGTTAGTATATAATCACAAAAGATCAGATGTACAAAATTAATAATTAAAAACATTAATTTAATTAAAGAGATCATTTAATTAAAAATTAATTGAAGAAAATGCAGAAACAGCATCAAAAAATTTCCATAAAGGTACACGTAACGATGGGACAGCTAAAAAACAATTAAAAACTAGAACCATCTGGTAAAAAAAAAACTAAATTATATCCCTTTTGTACATCCATACGATGAATGGATGATATTTCAATAAAAATCATCTCGCGGTCGATATCAGTTGGTTAAGAAACTTTTTTTTAAAACACACTTTTGGATAAGTTAAGTTATGTTTTCTTTGAAAATATATTAAATAAGGATTTAAATATTAAATTTTGGGAAAATAAATTTTTAAAATGTTTTCTATAAAGAAAAAAAAGATGAGATTTTTCCGAAATCAAAAAAACAAATGATTTTTAAAAATTTTGGAGGTGCTCAAAATGATAAAAAAAATAATCAAAAAATGCACCAACCTTTATTTCATAAACTTCAAATAAAATTAATCAAGTTTAAACCCCATTTTGTTACATCTGGCAGCTTTAAAAGGACTTTGATTTCATTAGGTTGGAGTTTCTGCTTATTTCTTTTGGAACCAAATCATCGAATTTGTTTTTTTTTCTCAGGTCCACCTTCTTTATGGCCGATTGTAGACAATTGTAATATTAGCTAAACCTGTGAGGGTCCCAGCTATGGGTAAAATATTGGTCCAAAAAAAATGGCCATTTTGAGAGAATTATTTTTGTCTATTAAAAATTAAAATTCACTGGATTTTCTTCAAACGACGTCGATATTTTTTCAGAATTGTAATTTCATTATTTTTCCGATTCTCTGAGGGTCTTATGAATAAATCAAAATAAAGTGTATATGTTTATGTAATTATGAGAAAAAAAAATATTCGACTTTCAATAGTCATATTATTTAACTTTAAAGAAGGGGGGGAATAATTTTTTTTTAAAAAAAAAAATAAACGAATTTATTTTTTCAAATGATTATGGGACTTTAAAAAAGTTTATTAAAAAATAAACCTGTCTTATGAAATTTATGTTCGATTTTATTTTTATATTATCTAAAGTTATATTTTTCCATAAAAAATATCAAAATTAATAAAATGAAGGAAATACAAATAATACTATAAAATATAATAAATGTATATATTTATATTTTACACTTATTGTCTATGTGTGTGTTTCATGTGTGTGTGTGGTGTGTACATACAATTAAAAAAAAATTCATGAGAAAGCTGCATACAAATTAATTAGATTTTTTCTTGTTATTTTTATATTATCTCAGTTATAATAGTTAGTATATAATCTAAATAAAAAAAAATCATGAAGGTGCCCATACAAAATTATTAATTAAATTAATTATTAATTTAATTAAATTAATTATTAATTTAATTAAATTAATTATTAATTTAATTAAATTAATTATTAATTTAATTTAATTAATTTTATGCATCTTATCTTTCTTATGAAATCTTTTCTCACTGGCAACAGTTTAAAATTTCCATAAAGCATCGTACACGTAACGATGGGACAGCTAAAAAACAGTTAAAAACTAGAACGCTGAAATTTTTGCTTTATAATTGGTTACGTAATTGGTTAAAAAAAACCTAAATTATATCCCTTTTTGTACATCCATACGATGAATTAAGGTCGCGTAAGCTGTCAATATTTCATATGATGACACCATCTCGCGACACCTCGTCATGTGTCACTGCTGTTAAGACCCTTCTATCTATCTTTTTTTTTAAAGTACACTTTTCAGCGCATCCTTTAAGTTATGTTTTCTTTCAAAATATATTAAATAAACATTTAAATATTAAATTTTGGGAAAATAAATTTTTAAAAATGTGTAACTGTTTTTGGCAGAATTTAAAAAAAAAAGATTTGACTTGATTTTTCCGAACCCCCCAAAAAAAAAACATGATTTTTAAACAATTTTGAGGGTTCAAAATGATAAAAATAATCAAAAAAATACTTTGACCTTTCCTCTTTATTATAACATAAACAGTTAGACAAATAAAAATTATTTTCATCAAGTTTAAGGCCATTTTTATCATGCTGTGTATATTTACCTCGTTTTCCGGCGAAGGTACCTTTAAAAAATTTTTATTTCTGTTTATTTATGTCGTCTGCTTATTTCTTTTCTTTCAAATCATCGAATTTGTTTTTTCTTTTGCTTTCTTCCACCTTCTTTATTTCGATTGTAGACAATTTGTAATATTTCCTAAAACTTTATTCACTTCTTGGCACTACTTAAATATATTGGTCCATTTTTATTAAAATGATGAACATTTTGCGGGGAGAGAATTATTTTTTGTCTATTAAAAATTAAAATTCACTGGATTTTCTTCAAACGACGACGACATTTTTCAGAATCGAGTAATGATTCATTATTTTCCGATTTATAAAGTGAGGGTCTTGTTCATAATATCAAGATCGTATATAAAATGATCCCTGACTTTGAAAGAATTATTCAACTTAAATTCTTAAGCATATTTTCCGCTTTTTTGGGAGGCGGGGAATAATTATTTTTTTTTTTAAATCTAAAATGAAGAATAAACGAATTTAATTTATGTTACTTTTTTTTTCATACAAAACTTGTGTTTATGTTTTTTCTTCTTTAAATGACGTTTATTTTATAAAAAAATAAACTTTTTTTAGAAAAATCAGGGATCGATTTTAGATTTTAATGATATTATAAACAGGATATATTTACGTAAAAAAAAAAAAATAACTTCTGTCAATCGTCATGGCTTTGAAAATCTAATAAATGTTAATCTATAAAAATATTTATATGTGGTCATTGTATATATATATATATATATATATATGTGTATGGATGTGGTCATTGTCTATATGTGTGTGTGTGTGTGTGACATAGCAAAAAGTTTTGTAAAAATTTGCTTCAGAATATTTACATTTTTACATTATGTATGAATCTATCTATCTACCTCTTCTTCTCTGTTAAGTATTTATCTCTCTATCCCAGCCTCTGCCCATGTTTGTCTGCCCATTCTACCTATCTATTTATCTATCTATCTGCCCATTCTACCTATCTATGTATGTATATCTCTGCCCATATCTATCTATCTCACTCCTTTTCATATATATATATCTATCTATCTATCTATCTATCAGACATACTTAGTAATGTTTACTAAATTATGTGGTCACGTAAAAATATATATATATATATATATATATATATATATATATATATATATATAATAAAAAGTAGTGTTTAAGCCTTTTTATTATATCCTTACATCTGTCCTGACATTGAGTTCTACCTGGATTCTATCCTCCCGAAAATTTTTCATAAAAAAATCTACATATATGTGTATGCACCTATGTATATATATCTATATATTTTATATATGTATGTATATTTACCATTAATATTATATATATATATATATATATATATATATATATATATTGCATATGTATGTGTATATTTACCACTAATATTATCTATATAATATTGCTTATATATATATATATATATATATATAATGAATTGGACAAAGTCCGACAAAACAACAGTGGAGTGTTTGTTGCTAAATTGGCAAAGCGCGTTAGGCTATATGTCTCTCTCGTATAAGATAGAGGTTCGATTCCTGCCGGAGGACGCATATATTCTATGAAGATTCCCCGGACCTTCAGGCCGGTAAATATCATTAATGCTCTTTATTATAAACATAGCATTTACTTAAATATTTTTTCCCACAAAAAAGTCCAAAGAAGCATAAAAAATGTCTTAACACACACACACACACACATATATATATATATATATATATATATATATATATAGAGAGAGAGAGAGAGAGCGAGATTTGTAGATTAGTCCCCTTCAGATAACGTAATACTTGCTTAGCTCTTGTTAAATGCACAGTCCCCAGTTTATTTAAGTTTTCAGACAACTTAGTAACCGTATAGCAGATATCTGGCCTGGTTGATGTCATCATGTAAATAAGACTTTCAACCAATGTTCTGTATTCTTTCTCACACGCGCTATACCATCTTCATTATTCATAATTATGTTTAAATCCAATTCACATGGAGTAGTTCTTGTTTTACAATTTTGCATGCTGAATTTAGATAAGAGCCTTTCGATGTATCTCGATTGATTCATTGAAATAGTGTTGCCTTTAAATTCGAACTGTATACCAAGAAACCATAATAGTCGGCCCAAATTGGTCATTTTAAACCTTATTTCTAGGGAATTATTGATTTTTAATGCAATTTTTGATGCAATTAACATATCGTCGACCCAAATAACCAGAATTACTAATATTTCGTTATTAAATGTTCTCGTGTACAGACATGGGTCAACTTGGGAGGATTGAAATTGCTATTCAATTAAATAAGAATGGATTAATTTATTCCATGTTCTTCCGCTCTGTTTGAGTCCATATAGTGTCTTTTTAAGTTTCCATACATAATTATCACCTTTTTCAAAACCTTCTGGCGGTTCTATGTATATTTCATAGTCGATCGGAGCATTTAAAATGCTGCTTTAACATCCATATGGTGTATATCCATACCATAATGTGCGGCCATTTGCATCAAAAATTCTAATTGTTGTCATGTTTGTTGTTGACTGAATGTTTCTACATAATCTTCCCCGTATATCTGCGAAAATCCTTTAGCTACAAAACGAGCCTTGTAGACTGGCGATCCATCCTCAGTTCGCTTTACAGTATAAACCCAACGGCTGCCGATAATATTTTTATCATCCGGGGCCTTTTTTTAATTCAAACGTGTCGTTTGATACTAAAGATTTAATTTCTTTTTGCATGGCAGCTATCCACCGTCTGGAATTGTCAGAATGTATGGCTTCTTGATAGTTCTTTGGGATACATTGTACCGAATAACAACAATCAATGTCGCAGGTATTACATTGATCCATTCCAAAATAGTCTGGCTTTCTTCTGTCTCTTGTCGGGTAACGCGGAATTTTTCCCCCCTCATCAGTTATATTTTCTTTTAACTCAAGTTTTGAGTCCGATTTTTCCTCGTCTACATCATCTGGTATAATGTTTCCTCTTATTGTGGATTTTGAACGGGTTTTCTACTTATAGGCCCATAATTAAGCCATACTAGTTCGGGTTGGACTAGTTCCTCGCAGTTAATATTCTTTTCTTCGGGTTCCTCCCCTTGCTCAAAGGAATCTGTAAATCTGACGCATTTAATCTTCCTTATCGTTTTAGTTTGTGGAAAATAAATCATATAAGCTGGACTTGTCTTATCATACCCAAAAATATGCCCCTTTCACTTTTTGGATCTAGTTTCGCCCTGTGGTCGACATATGTATAGCAAATTGTACCAAAAATATGCATATCACTCACATTGGGCTTGAAGTTCGTAAGGTGTCTTTTTAATGTTACTATTATAGCAACGGTTTCTTATATATACTGCTGTATTTAATGCATAAACCCACAGATTTTTGGGTAAATTAGATTCTATTAGCAGACGTCTAGCCATTTCAAAAAAAGTGTCCTCCAACTACGTTCAGCAACTCCGTTTTAGTGTGGAGAGTAAGAACAAGTTTTCTCATGTTTAATGCCTTCCTTTATTAGGAGGTTTTCGTAAGCATCAGAAGTAAATTCTCCACCATTATCTGTCCAAATTATTTTTACTTTTCCATACGGGGATATATCGGTTAAATAGATTTTTGTAGCTTGCAGGGTATCAGATTTATTTTTCAGAAAATGTATCATAATAAGTCCTGAATATTCGTCAACAAAGTTTAATACATATGAATAGGTGTCGATACCCATTGGTGGAATTGAACCCGCTAAGTCGCAATAAACTCTGAACAAGATATCTGTTGCTTTTGGGATCCGACCCCGATTTCTATATTTCTTCATTTTCTCTTTAATACACGTATCACAATATTGTAAGCACTTTGGAAATGTAATTTTCATTCCAATGACGTGTTCTTGTAATCTTTTAACATCCGAAATATTACAGTGGCCTAATATTTTTATGTCAAGTCCTTAAGTGGTGCGTGGCTGTCTTAGCAGACTTAATACATTTCAAATAATACAAACGTCCATTTTGCTGTATATTAAATTCAGTTCCGTCTGGATATATTAACTTTGAATTGTCTCGGTGAAAATTGACTTTAACGCCAGTTTTAATTGCAGACTGAACTGAAAAAATATTTTGTTTAAATTTAGGAATATATAAAGCCTTTTTTAATAAACATTTACAAATATTTCCTTTAGTATTTCGTAGATAAATACAGGCATCGCCTCTTTCTAAAACTAAATTATTAGCTCTGGTGCCGTCAGCTAACTCGATAAAATGCGAGTCGGTCTCAAAATTGGGGTCAAAATTAATAAATTTTTTTTCATCTATAATTACATGATTTGTCGCACCCGTATCGATTAGGCAAGAATTATAACTGTTGGCTACAGTATCCAATCCAAACGAAAAGGCATATGTTCGTCCATTCGAAGAAGTTTTTACATTTTTACAAAAATCATTCCGTGTATAAAATTGACATTTTGCACGGACATGGCCGACATTACCACAACGAAAACAAACGATATTTCTTTTAGTGTTGTTATTTATGTTATAGTTCTTGTAAGAATTGTTTTGAAGCCCCTTGTTCTTAATATCATAATTCCTAGTCTGATCGGTTTGAGGGACTGGTTTTCTGAATTTTTTAAATGACGTTCTCAGTTGCATTACGTTATTGCCTTGATTTTGGGGGGTACACATTTTTTCAGTTTCTTCATAACTACGTAACACAATTTTAAACTCAGTGAAAGTTAATTGTTTATCTTTTTGAGTTATAACTGTCGTGAATGGTTTGAATGTCGGTGGCAAATCCTTTAAGACCATGGCTATTAGCAGCCCATCTGAGATAGTCTCACCTGCAATTTTTAAGGCATTTGTGACATTCTCAGCTCGTATAATATAATCTGTGACAGATTCATTTTCTCGTCTCTTTAACGCAGTTAGTTCAGTATATAAAGCAATAATTTTAGGCTTACCTTTTGACAAGTAGTGTTCACGCAAAATTTGTAGGGCTCGCCGCCATTGTCCCTGGCCACTCTCATTATTAAAGACAAACTCCGGTCATCCAGGAATTGTATTAATTCAGCGAACACGGTTGCATTTTTTTTCCATAAAATCATCATCCCCCCCTTCTGGTCCTCTTCGCAAAGGATGATGTCATGGAGTTTTTGTATTCTGAGGTAGATTTATATTATAGATGTTACGGCTATTAGTGCTGGATTGATTATTTCACCTAAAAACTTGTTGAATTTCCTCCGTTGCTGAAATAAATAGACAGAGAAAAGACGGAAGGATACGGAGACAATGGAGGGACTGTTTAGGACTGATTTTATTTCTTTCTTTTGGATTCCAACGACCTCTTGTTGGGGAATTTCCTACCAGAACAGTTGGTACGTATTCACCAGTCAAAGGTCCAACAGAGAAAGATCTAGCGTCTCCTCTTTTAAGCGTCTGTTCTTTTTTAAGTGTCTGCTCTTTTTTTTCTTTATTTTTGCACATGCGTAATTTGTCTTTCCTGTCAGAGGACTCTTGGGAGATTTTAATGTTTATTTTATTTTTTTGTACTTTTATTTAATTTTGTATTTTATTTTATTCCCACAATATCTCGATTCATTCCCGTCAAAATATAGTCGTGGCCTGGGCTCATAACCAATGTTGTTCGTGATGACGGTCGTCTTCGAGTGTAGAATCCAGAGGTTAGCAGTGAATATTTCGAAGACATTCGAAAAGCGTAGTTCAGGTTAGCAGTGGATATCCCGGTAAAATTGCAGATCGTAGTTCTTCCTTCTGTTTCTCTTCGCCTGACAAGCTGGAAATGGACATTCGGGTAGAGTAAACTAAATGGCCGACTTTATACACGACGAATTGAATATTCTACGTCTTCTGGTTGGTTAACGTTCCATTGGTGGACTATAAAATGAGTCAAGTCATTTAGACTGGCACACTAGTAGATAATATACACTCGTGTGTATCATTGTACTTTCGAGTGCGTGTAGTCCAGTGAACTGTTGCTGAACGAAGTCAGTTTATAAGTTAGTTACCTTTATTTATTTTGAACCCTTATTTTCATTTTCAGCCTGATTTTGCGTTTGTGTATTTTAAGTTTTTTCTTT